TGTGCATAGAGTTGTTTGTAATAATCTCTGATGATGGTTTGTATTTCTGTGGAATCTGTGGTGATATTCCCTTGTTTTTTATTGCATCTATTTGATTATTCTCTCTTTTCTTTTTTATTAATCTGGTTAGTGGTCTATTTTGTTGATCTTTTCGAAAAACCAGCTCCTGGATTTATTGATTTTTTGAAGGGTTTTTTGTGTTTCTATCTCCTTCAATTCTGCTCTGATCTTAATTATTTCTTGTCTTCTCCTAGCTTTTGAGTTTTTTTTGATCTTGCTTCTCTGGCTCTTTCAGTTTTGACGACAGGGTGTCAATTTTAGATCTTTTCTTGCTTCTCATGTGGGCATTTATTGCTATATATTTTCCTCTAGACACTACTTTAAAAGTGTTCCAAAGACTCTGGTATGTTGTGTCTTCATTCTCATTGGTTTCGAAGAATATCCTTATATCTGCCTTCATTTTATTGTTTATCCAGTCAACATTCAAGAGCCAGTTGTTCAGTTTCCATGAAGCTGTGTGATTCTGAGTTAGTTTCCGAATTCTGAGTTCTAATTTGATTGCACTGTGTTCTGAGAGTCTGTGTTATGATTTCTATTCTCTTGCATTTGCTGAGGAGTGATTTACTTCTGATTATGTGGTCAACTTTAGAGTAGGTGTGATTTGGTGCTGAGAATGTATATTTTGTGGATTTAGGGTGGAGAGTTCTGTAAATGTCTATTAGGTTTGCTTGTTCCAGGTCTGAGTTCAAGTCCTGGATATCCTTGTTAATTTTCTGTCTCACTGATCTGTCTAATATTGACAGTGGAGGGTTAAAGTCTCCCACTATTATTTTACGGGAGTCTAAGTCTCTTTGTAAGTCGTTAAGAACTTGCTTTATGTATCTGGGCGCTCCTGCAGTGGGTGCATATATATTTAGGATCATTAGCTTTTCTTGTTGCATTGATCCATTTACCATTATGTAATGTCCTTCTTTGTCTCTTTTGATCTTTGTTGGTTTAAAGTCTATTTTATCAGAGACGAGAATTGCAACTGCTGCTTTTTTTTTT